GTAAATTACTTTTCAGTTACAGATCTCGTACTTTTCATTAACGTGTAAATTAATTTCTATAATAATGTGTTCATTAATTTCAATACACACGTTCATCACATTTAAGACTACTGTAATTTAGTTTTTATTTACATCATTCATTACATTTAATTTCGTGCATAACCACATACTTCCTTTACATGTTAATTAAAATTCATTGAGAAATTTCTAACAGTGTATATGCCCGTGTCACATTACGCATTGGAGATTGAGGATTGCGAATTAAGGATTAGAATTCGACCAATCAGGTAGCTTCAATTTTAATCCATTTCGTTCTAATTGGCTGAATTCTAATCCTTAATTCACAATCCTTAGTCTCCAATGCGTAGTGTGATATGGGCATTAGACATTGGTACCAAGTTGCAACGGTGTGGAATGCTATTGCCATGATACTGTTGGTCTTATCGACAGCTTCTTTATTTCAGAAAGGACGGATATTTTATATAAAACAAAAAATAATAGTTCTGTACCGCAACAATATTAGCTCTATGAAGCAATTACGTCATCATTTTTAAAATTTCTATATAATTGACGAAGTTCTGACTCTTTTCCAATGAATATATAATCATGCTTTAAAGAAGGTTCTAGCGATTAAAAGCTGAGGTCTGAAAATATGAGATATTAACTCAATGTTTTTGTTCTATAAAATATATCTGGTTGAAAATGAAGAAAATCGGAAAATTCTGATTATATCAGTCCGGTTATCACAATTATTAGGATTCCAGTAGATTTAACCAGAAAATTCTGACTCTCATCTATTTTCAAAATTCTAATTAATTCAACCAAACATTTTTTTCTGTGTAACAACTTTTTTATTTTCATCAGAAAATCGACTTAAATCATAGTGCTTTTCGATGTCGCTGAAATTATAATATAGGTGTTAAGCATAAATTTAAAAAATCAGATTATTTCTGTCAACATAAAGCATAAATTAAATAAATAAAGAAGCACCAAATATCATTAGCAATAAATTTTCTGGTTCTCCTACTATGACAATCCAGACATTTTGCAACGCGAGAGTTGTATAAGCGACGTAGGTATAAGTATCTATTTTTCCGATCGAGATTGCAGCTATTGCAATCAGCGCGGGAGTGTGTAGCAATTGCGTTCAAGGATCGGGTGTTTTCTAGAACGCGACGAAGGAGAGAGAGATTCCTGGCACGCGGAGAAACGGAATAATTCTATGTGCTCGTGGTGCATACACGAGTGACTGCTGGTGGGAGTGTCGAGAGAAATGAAGAGGGAGAGGGAGAGAGAGAGAGAGATAGAAAGACGAGGTGAGAGGAGCGGTTGGCGGTCGGGCGACGGTCTCGTGCATCATCCACGTCACGATCGCTGCCAATGGGATCTTGGATATCAGGTGATGCTATTGGGGATTTGCATCTCCTGGACGCGCCGAATGCATGAGAGAGGTGAGGAGGCCCTCTCGTCCGTGAGTCGGCTGGCGCGACGAGAACGATGGAAAATCCGGTTGCGTTGCATATACAGGCGAGGAAGACGAGGACGCAGTCAATGCGCATACAGGGTGCTTCCAAATTAAACCGTACCAATTTTTATAAGTGCATTCTTCACTTCATAACCTAATCTTCCTTTATAACTTTACTAATTTCATTAAATAAAAAAACAAAGTTTTTTATTACAAAAAAATTTAATCCTCCACAAGATAAAATCTTTCAGATTATATGACATGCGAAACGTTGCAGTTTATTTAAAACTATATAAAGTAATGATTAATATAAAAAATACGAAAACGTAAAAATTAATTTTATGAAAGTAATACAATTGGAATTTTTTTTTTTGCAAATATTGTCACATTTCAATGATCTTTTTAATTGAAGTCATAAAAAATCACCTGCGACCAAGAACAGAATATAGTACCCTTAACGAGATTTATTAATAGCGAAACTTATCAACTGAATTTTTACCATGAAGAAATCGACTGCGTCAATTTGTTGCAGTTCGCACGCTAAATTAAAAGCTATTTAATTTGAGACCACCGTGTAGATCGTAGCGGACGCGAGAAAGAGACGCAGATAGATAGCTAGATAGTGCAAACGAGAGAAACGAAGAGAAACGGAACATGGTCGATGTGTCTAGCGCAACCCGGCTGACTGGCTGGCTGGCTGGTTGGCTGGCTGGCTGGCTGGCTGGTTCGGGTAGTAGCTGGCTGGCTGGTTCGGCTGACTGGATCAACCGGGGACCGTCTAGCTTGCGTCTACCCCGCCGCACAAGCCAACCCGGCATTATCTATACGTCTAGACACCCCTGCGCCACCGAGAGAAGACCATAGCGGTTTGGCGCTCCGCTTGTAATTTACAGCGCACCCCGCCGTGTCTCTACACCCACGAACTCCTCTCTCTCTCTCTCTCTCTCTCTCTCTCTCTCTCCTCCCTTCTTTTCTCCATCTTTCTCTTTATCGCTTTTTCCTTCTCTCCATCTCTTTCGCACTCCTGACGACGACTAAGATCGCGCTTGCACCTCCTCTGCTCGAGTTTTTCCACATTGCCCCCCTTCGATCCCCCTTCTTCATCCGTTCTCGCCTTGACGTTCCTTCATTTTTCTGCCATCCGATACCAGCTCGAGTGACTGGGATCGAAAGTTCACCGGCGTTATCATAAATCTTACATCTAAATCGCGAGATCATTTTTCTTATAATTTCGTATGAAAAACGCGATAGAGACGAGATAATTGCATTTGATGACATAACGCGTAAATTGTTACAGCGTAAGTCTACGTAGTTATTTACGTTGAACATTCATAATTACGCATTTGTTATCGTTTATTAGAAGCGAAAAATTGTTGCCAAGAGTTGAATGTTTGTAATTTCATAGAACAATGGCGTAGTAAGCTGCAGACGTTATCGCATTTATTAATACTGATGCGCAGATATATTTGCATCAAGGTCGGTAGAATGCATGCATGCGCTCTCCCATTCGGTTATCCCTCCCACAGTCAGACTTTTATATGACTATTCTATAGCGGTTAGAGGAAGCTCTGTTAATCCTGGCACTAGATAAAAACAAACCCCATCCGAAGTACGAAATATGCGTCTGCGGCTGGAAAAGCAGAGCAAAATTTCCAATCGATTCCCGCTAAATAAGCGGCGCAGTAAACTTTAATTTAAAATCGTCTGTATCGTTTGTACTCTAATTCATTTTAACAGTTGAAATAATCGTAAATTATTTCTAGGTTACATATTGTATTATTTTTTCAAGATTTTATCCGAACAGATATTATAAATCAACATAGGTTTATCGGTATTTTGACACATCTCGCACTATGATTTTTGCGGATTTGACCAAACAGACAATAAATTGAGAAAAATAAACATGATATGTCTGTGCGGGGATCTCTCATACATATATCATTTTACTTGTACAGGCTTTTATACAAGTATAACTATATAAAATTATAAAAGACAAATGGTATTTAAAGATATCTGAAAAATTAAAATTAAAATTAAAATTTTTTTTTTTTATTTATCGATATCTCTCTCTTTACAATACGGAAATTATAGATTAAGTGATGCAAAACTATAGCTTGCTGTGCGAGTTCAATATCTACAACTGAAAAGATTTGACAAAGAAATTACATCTGTAAGCAATTATCAGTATGCTAATTCAGCAAATTCTTTGCTGCATGCAATAAAAACTGCTAATATGACAAGTTTTCTTCATTACTGTAGCAAAAGTATGCGCTTAGCTAGCATATTTTGTTAAAAATTTTGTTTTATATGTTAGACCAATTTTTATAGAAAATTATCTTTGCTGTATTAACAAATTCACTGTCCTATTACAACAAATTTATTGATCATCTATAACCGCTAATTTTATTCAGCGATACAACTTTGCTAATTTAATATCTGTATATAGAAAAATTATTGTTCGTATATTATGGCTATGGATTTGCTGGATCAGTGAAGTTTATAATTATTTTAACAAATCTTTTTCGTCCGTGAATTTTTCATACAACTATGTGATCTGAATTGATCGTAATTCCATATAAAAAAATCATCGCTTTGCGTTTCTGACAACAAACTACTTAGATAACTGCGCTAGGATATAGCTAGGATATGCGGATGCGATGAACTTTCGAGTTTCGGAGGTATGGAATAGAGGATGACGCGATTTTCCCAAGGGTATAAATCGGACGGAGATGCAGGCTACGACGACGAAGGAAGATGGATGGCTAGACGGATAGATCGACATCGAAAGCCCGAAAGGGGTTGAGAGGGAGAATGGCGACGGCGATGAAGGCGCAGACTATGGCGTCGAAGTCAGGGGTTGAACAGGCTGATGTTTTAAGCGATGTAAGTTACAGGCGCTACGAATAGCGGTCTCGGGCGTAGATTAGTCGTAATCTGGGTACATTGCTCTCTCTCTCTCTCTCTCTCTCTCTCTCTCTCTCTCTCTCTCTCTCTCTCTCTCTCTCTCCTCTGTTAATAAACACGTCTTTCTCCTTTGCTCTCTCTTTCTCTCCATCTTGATGTACGCTCTACACAGTATATCCTTCGGTCGTACGTTCTCATACACTCGAACATCGACTTGAGACGACCTCGATGCAGACGTACTCAGGCTCAGATAGACGCTATCGTCGCTCGCTTGATTATTTCCCGACCACTTCGACAATCGAAGAAGAGTTTCTGGTGTTTATCCCCGTCTGGCTTTGTAACCGCAGAATTATCGTGATCGTGACAAATACCGAATAACGGATTTACGAGATCTTCCATCGAAGTGGAATTTCCATCTATTTCATCATTTCGATTTCGATATTCTTCCGGAATAGTCCGATATATATTGGATATGGCAAAATTGGAAAATTTACGAGGTCTATAAAAAATCGCGTCGATATTGGATATAACTCGAAAATTCGAAATTGCCCATAAAAAGACACTTTAGATGTGTAACTTCATATTTTCATTGCAAAGATTTCATTCACGACGTAATTATTGAATTAAAGCGATGGAAAAGTTCTATATGTGGTTATCTCAGAGAATGCAGGTCGGAAATTTCAATATTACCGCGCGCGATAACTATAGTAACAATCTGAGGTATCGAACAAACCGTGCATATGCTTTAGTCGGATTCAATATTGAAGACTTCGTTCGTCGTGCGAAAACATCCGTCCGAATGGCTGAAGAAAAGCAAGATAAAGAAATCAAGAAAGTGACCGAGAGGGTAATCTCTATAACGAAACGTGGTGATGTCTTAAAAAACGAAGTAGCCACTGATAATATTCGGTAATACATTTGTCATAGAAAGTATAACAATATAAGTTTGTTTTTATAGTAGCTGAAGTAGTGTATACTTTTTGTAATTAAAATGAAATAGATATACAGCCTTAACCAAAAATATTAAACACCTATATTTTTTCATTTATCTATAATATAATTCTTTCACCTGCACATAATTACCGATGTTATGCGTAAATTTAAATGAAAAAAAGGATAATTTACAGCAAATGTCATAAATCAATTGAGGTAAAAGCTTTTTAAATAATGATTAATAAGGTAATATTAGGCTAATATTTTTTACTAAGACTGTATGATTTAAATTTAGCGAAAATGAAAAGGAAAGTTCCAATACGGTCTAATTCAGCAATACAAAACAAACCTATAATAGTTCAGTAATACTCATAACGATAGTTATATATAGACTCATTCTTATGCATGAAGTGCAGATTATTTCGTTAATATTTTTTCAGCAAGGAAACTAACTTCCTCGAAAGCTTGTCGCGATGGTCATGGCCGCAGAAGTACGAGCATCTGACCGGGCAATTTTTCAGCCAGGTACCTTAAAAACTCTGTCGGTTGGCGAGTCGCGTACGGCAGAAAAAAAAAAAGAAAAAGAACATGCGAACCGCAGACGAATTTCAATGTGTCCGCCGTGTCACTGACCGTAGATGCTGGCGGAGGAATGCAGAAAAGCGGGACTTCCGGCGAACACTTTCGAGCGTGACCCGCCGGAAGACGTAGCCGAACATTCGCCGATTCCTTTGAAAGCTTCACCAGCCTTCCCTAGGACGACATCCGCCCAGATCGGCCATCGTTCATCCCGCACGGAATACAGCTTGGAATTCATGGGTCGTCTCTACATCTCGCCAAAGTGGACGATCGATCCTCCCGCGGATACCCCGGAATTACGTACGATGCAACAAAAATTTATATTTCTAGGTTGAAAGAAGCCTTGAGCATCCAGAAATAGCGTATCAATACATAGAGGATAATAACAAAATTTTGTCATAAAGTTTTGTGTATTTATCAAATCATTATTCAAGTATCAAGCTAACGCTATTTGTTGTCATTTTGACATCAAAATGATAAATAATATCAGCTTACTACTTGGATATCTAAAAAAACAACTTTGGAGAGTGTTAGTTACATCTTATTAAATACTAAAAAGACTCTGCAACGAAAGATTTTCATCGGTTGATAAACTGAAAACCACTCTATAAATATGGCTATCTGGAAAAATTTATCCGTGGAAAAATGCGCGGCTATCATTGATGCATTTCCAAAGCGTCTTAAAGCTAAAGGTAGTCATTTTGAAAAATAATGATATTAATTATTACTCTTTTAGTATTCTATAAAATATATATAACCATATAAGACTCTAGAGTTTGTTTCTTTGTAAATATATATAGAGATACGTTATAATATATTAATAATTTAACAAACACAAAACTAATCAAACTTGTTTCTTCACTGAGAGAAAAGATTTTGTTAATTTAGCAAGTCACCAGTACCTTTAACCGGTGATCGGTAAATATGTGACAACAAATTATGTTGTTGTGATTGCTGCTAGTCTGCTATACTAATCAATTATTAGTAACAGAAACAAACTATATAGAATCTAACCTATCTTTTGGATAGACTTTAGCTCGTTTACATAGAATTCTGATAATCGTGGAGTCTTAAGTCGTAGGAAACCGACCAAGCACAGTCAAATATAGGGAGAATACTTGATTAGAATTAGTCAATTTCTTACGATTTGAGATCCTGCAACCATCTACGACTTTTATATGTATATGAGCCTCTTATTTGATAGCGATACTGTTGATTATTTGTTACATTGACGAATTAATTTGCAATCGTAACAAATCGATTGTTTTTTTAACAAATATCAACAAATACATTTGCTTTCCCTTGATTTGTTCCTGTAACAAAATTATTTCTCTTAGTGTTATTCTGTCTGTATTTGATTTATATATAACGTTTTTTTTTTAAAGAGTGAGCAAAAGGATAGAAAAATAATAGATTATTCCTTTTATATCTAATATGATTAACAAATAATTTTTGTGAGAAATTTTTCTTGGATCGTAAAATAGTTTAAAATATGTTAATTATATCGTCAACTTAATTATCGTTATAAATACTAAAAACTGTAAGTCTTGTGTGAAATTTTAATGATCAAATTTCCAAGAATAATTGAAAAATACTGATATTCTTGACCTTTTTTGATTTATAAAAACATTTCACCGAAATATGTAATATAATATTTTACAGATGTTTGTACATCCTATGAAACAATGAAGTTATAAATATTAAAATTAATACAATGTGTGTGTGTGTGTGTGTGTGAACTAAGTCTAAACAAACCATTCAGATTTCGATATGAGTGATATATGAAAACTGTCGACGTCAGGCGTGACAGTAAATTCTGGAAATATACACAGAAAACTTATTGTGAGTTTGAAAAGACTGAAACCGTTAACAACAAACTCTTCTTATCATCAAAGTTAATTTATCACAAAAATTAATAAATATCTTAATTGATTAATTGTATTATTTAATAGAATAACAGATAAAATTCGAAAATTTTAGCAATTGCTAGAAATGATCAAAGTAATAAATTATAAAATAATCAAATGTAATTAATTTATAGATGCATGTAGACAATACATTTGTATTAAGAGAAAAATGTTTGATATTTATAACTGCATAGTAAAATAATTATGATTAAGGAAATAGGAACTCTATACAGTTACTACTACTATATAATATTAGCAATAATAATTATATTTATAGTTTATCTTATATAAAAATATATATATATATTTAAAGTTAAAAAATTTACGTTTTAGCACATTTCACATGTTTCAAACGGTCCGTTCAAAATTTTTTGTTAATTTAACATAAGATGAACATATTAAAAGATAACACAAATAATATGTAAAAAAATTAACACAAAAAATGTAATATTAATACAATTTGTAAGCAAACTGTGGAAGTATATTTTTCCAATAAAATTAAAATTTATGATGTGTTAAATTAACACGTACTTTATTAATAACTTATCTTCAAATTTACGTTTTAAAATACATTTTAAATTATTGGTATGTTATTTGCTTTCATTCACTCTTATTCATAAATTATTTTTAACACTAATTATAAGAAATGTTAAGTCAAAATATTGATCAATGTAACATAAAAATATTCAAATAATATGATTACATTATGTTAAATTAACAGTTAGATGTATGTTAAAAATTCAACACAAAATTTTAACAATAATTTGAGTGACCGTTTCCAATACAAATACAAAACGTTTTTTATTGTGTACGACTAGCATTTTGAAAAAAACATTAATTATATATTATTATAATGTATGAAGATTTTAATCAACTGCAGCATATACATTCTCGTAATATAATATAATAATTACACGCGATATTTAATGAGTTAGGACAAACTTTAAACCGATACTTTACGAAAACCATTTGCAATAATTTTTCGCATGCGAAATTTATTTTTAGACACTAGCGATTGCGAAATATGATCTGGACGCAACTCAGCGATGTATCGTCGTGTCGCATTCCACGACAGACCGGCATTCGAACGATGTTGCGATTCTCGAAGTATCGAAAGATCGAAGCATCGACAAAATGGCCGCAATTAAATTTCACTATCGCAGAGAAGTGAAATTTAAATATATTTTAGCAAACATTTTAAAAAATGGCCAAAATAGCGAGTCATTATAAGAAATATAATTGGCTCAGTCAACTACAGAACGAAAATGTGCACGCACCTGGCAATAATTAAGCATCCAATGCACGTCGGTGAAATACGCGAAGAGAACATGCCCGATAAATTCCATATATTAAGAGCGGAACGTCGAAATCACGTAATAGCAACTTCACACACTCGATGCATCACGGAGATTCGATTTTGTGGGAAGCACTCGCGATAATTATTTTCACGCAAGATGTACTTTCAGACAACAAACGTCGCGGGAAATATAGAACTAATTCGAATGCGATTCAGGGATCGCCGCGGCGCGTTTCGTGGCTGAACCGCTGTTCGAGAACTATCGAAGAGCCATCTCACGATTCTCGAAGTAACGAATGGTCGAAGCAGCGACAAAATGGCCGTAGTTACTTCGCGGAGAAATACGATTCAAAATATTTTTAGCATACACTGGAAATAGCCGACAGATTAAATTATTATAGAAAAGATTAGCACAGTTAATGTAAAATGAAAATATGTACATATTTGAAAAGTCATGCGATCGTTATTATTTCGATATATTTTGAAATGCGAGAAGCGAATATAAATTTTTTCCACGCAGAACAGATCGTTAAAATCATGGATTTGTTTCTTATTTCTGCATTTTCTTTCTCGTGTTCGCCAAAAATCATTATATCTATCATTGTACATCTATTTCACTTTAAGTTCTAAAACCATGAATGTACTAGCTCAACTACAAATGTAACGGTTAAAATCAACTTCGACACAACACTCGAAATGTTACGATATACCTGACTTTACGGGAAGCATTCGCGATAATTATTTGCGTGCAAGATTCACTTTCATAATAATAAATATTACGGTGAAATACGGAGCAGATTCGAATACACGATATATCTATAATTGTTCAGCGATCGCCGCAGCGCGTTTCATGACTGATCGCGATTCGAGAACTATCAAAGAGCCATCTCACGATACTCAAAGTAACGAATGATGGAAGCAGCGACAAAATGGCCGTAGTTATTTCACGTAGAAGTAAAATTTGAAATATTTCAAAAATTTTGTTAGAAATAAGTGAAGTAAACACAAATGATTATGAGAAATATGATTAGTGTAGCTTAATTGTAGAATAAAAATTTACTTATTTGGTAATAATGATGTACCCGTTGTTATTCTGATGAAATGTGCGAAGAGAATGTCCGAGAAATCCCATGTCGATGGAAGTAGATCGTCACCGTTGAAATTATAAAAATTGTAACTTGAACAATGCTTGACGCGTTGCTACAAAAATCTAATTTTTCAAGAAGTATATTCGCGTTAATTATTCGCGCACGAGATTCGTTTTTAAGCAATAAAAATCGCGGAAAATGTGGAGCGGGATTCGAATGCGATTCTACAGTCGCTGTGGCACGTTTCGTGATTGACTAAAGTTCGAGAATAATCGAAGAACAATGGCGCGATTCTAGAAGTATTCAAAAAGATCGAAACTGCGAATCAATGAGCGATTGTTTCGTGTAGAAACTAAATTCGCGCGAATTTTAATGACGAATATTAACCCAGCAAACGAGAATGGATTGAAATGGATTAAAATGGATTCAGATTTTCAGAAATATGGATTCATGAATGTTAAAATGAATCCTTTTCAATCCTGAATGCATTTTTATTCATTTATAGGAATTGCATAAAACAGATGTCTACTCTTTCTCAATCTTGAATGCATTCTTTATTCATTTATAGGAATGGCATGGAGTATAATTTCTAAGCTTTTCAATCTAAAAATATTATTATAGTATTTTGTGTGCATCATGAATACTGCTTAATTAAAAATTTTGAATAGGAAATGCAGTTTTTCAATTCAATTGAATCTAAAAATAATATCGGCTATTTCCGTGCATTGTGAATAAGCTGCTTAATTTAAAATTCTGAATAGGAAATGCGGTTTTTCAATCCAATTGAATATAAAAATAATATTAGTCATTTCCGTGCATTGCGAATACTGCTAAATTCAAAATTCTGAATAGGAAATGCAGTTTTTTAATCTAATTGAATAAAAAAAAGTTTTTCTTTTAAAATGGGCCATGAATACTATTCGATTCAAAATTGAGTAGAAAATCCATTGTTTCATTTAAAAATGCATCATAAATGCTATTTTATTCAGAATTATAAATAAAAAATTTTTCGTTTTAATTCAACTAAGTAAAAAAAATTGTATTGTAAAAATATATTATAAATTCTACTTCATTTAATATTTAAAAAAGACATAAAAAGAACTACTACGTAAATATGTGCAATAAATGTTACATATGTAAATTGCTTATTTTTAATTAATAAATTAATCGCTTTTATATATATTTTATATTAATACGTTTCCTTTATTATACAGCTACTAATTTTTTGTATAAAAGTTTTAAAATAATAACTATAGAATTTCATGTAATTATTATTTTAATTTATTTAAACTTTTACATGTATTAAATTTTTTTATATGGAATCCAATCCATTTTTATGGATTTAAAATACGGATTAGGATGGATTGAAAATTTCTAATTCATTTCGATCCATTTTCGTTTGTTGGGAAATGACAGAAGAAAAATATAAACTCTTATATTTTATATCTTATATGTTTTATGTCTTATTTCTTCATAGTTGGTTCTTATTTCAAGATCGTTTTAAGTAATGGCTTAAGATGCTAATACTACTCTTGGTTTATAACATCTTTAGCCTGTATTTAAGACGGTCTTAAATATAAGAACCAACTATATAGTGGCGATAAAAGTTCGACGCCGAGTAATTAATGTGCAAATTAAAAATATAATTTTTTAATTAACAATGAAATCAATACATAATTAAATAATTAACGTTTGTACATATCAATCATTTAATTATGTAAAAATTTAATTATTAATTAACGAATTCTACGTTTAATTAGAATGTCATTTACCGCGAACTCTCTCATGACCACTTATATATTTAAAAAAAATTAAAGGTTATAAAAGGGCGATTAGGAATAACAATTACGAATTCGATTGGGAGAATGTTCAAATATCAGACAGTGAACGTAACTACAAATAAAAGGTTAATATCTGAAATAATAAATATTAAGCGACAAAAGAATGAAATTAATTTAAACAAAGACACGGAGTTACTTTGTTCGTCATACTTTTGTTATCTGACTGATCACTAAAAGTCCTGAGCGAAATTATAAACATATGTCATACTCAATACGATGAGAGACACTGTACTAGAGACATTGTTAAGTTTTATCGTTCTCGTCCTAAAATTATAATTATATACAAATAACTATCGTTTGCAAATTTTTACTTTATAATGACTGAATTTATTTTTGACGTGCTCTTGAGGTGATTCTCCACATCAAATTCCTGTAAGTTATAATATTGTCTTGATTCTAATTTTGAATCATTAATTTTAAGGTCAAATACATACGTCGGTAATTATCCAGCCTTCAAACTGGCATGGAATTTCGGTGTATGAGGATAATCACAGGAGGAACTTATGTTTGGTTATATATTATTGTTCGCTGAAGATGGCTAGAAGTTAGCCGAAACGTTCGAGGAATAAAGGAACGGTATAATTTGAAGAAAATATTGTTACATCGATTCTTGCGCACTTATTACAGCGCCGATTCCTAATCGCCTTTTTATAACCTTTAATTTGTTAAGACTAAGGAATCTCAGTTTACTTATATATAAGTCTTATATATTTTTAATTTGTTACTTACATATTATCGAGAGTCCTTAGTCAATTATTTCTTTATATAGTGAAAAATTTTTATTTTAAATTATTCTAAGAATAATTAATCATAATTGTCGGATATATTGAAAATGATATTAAAATATCAAAATAACGCGTTTGAAATAGCAAACTCTAATCATACAAAATATAAAAATAGGACATTAAATTTATTCGACTGTTATTATTAATAGTCGCAATATACAATATTTATATACCAAAAAATTTCTGTTTTAACGTGGGTGGTAATTTCTCCAACAAGGAAGTAGGATTTACCTCAACCGCTACCAACTCTTCATTGTTCAGCCAATTTAAGTAAACAAGGTGCTGCAAATATTAAAATTATAATTCCTTCTTTTTCTTTTTCGCGTTATTAATTGTTTAAAATAGGTATCTTTTAAATGAGAAATATTACCTTATATTTCTTGGCAACTTGAAATGTATGTTGAGATTGTGAGCTGGAAATCGAATTGCTATCTTCTGCACTTTCTCCATTTTCACGCTTAAAAATTTTTGCCTCTTTTTCTGATAATTCACTGTTTTTATTAATAATATACACGTTTGAATCATCCTGCATGATTATAATATTCTCATTGCGTGGATCGAATATAATGTTTGTTATTGGGAATGGACGCGCCAACCACTGTTTCGATAACCGGCTTTGCAAATGTTGAGAAAACTCTGTATAACTCTTCGTAGGAACATTGTACTCGACGATCTGAAAAAGAATTATTGTTTGCATAATTATTAATAACAAGAATATCTTAATAGGTATCTTAAAATATTGAAAACTTCGATTGTGCCTGTTTCAAGATATTAATTTTAGAATTGCTATTTCAAAGGCTTTTAATTTAGATCGTACGATTTTTTAACATACCTCATTGTACGTCTTAAAATTTAATATTGCTTATATATCAAAAGGTAATAAACTGTAGGACTTCATAAAGTCTGTATGAACGTATAATTCAATAACGGGATTATAGAGCAATTATATGTAACGTCATTGCGTAAAAATAAAACCATAGTAGTTAACAGTAAATTGCGAATTTTTACTGCCGCAGGTCATTAAACGTTGCATAGTACTTCATAAGTGCATATTCGAGTCAGTTATTACTTTAACGTCGACGTAATGCATGATTCGCGTATTACACATTTTAAATCATTGCACCATAAATATATATATATACATATATATATGTATATATATCGGGCTATATTTACCTTATGGTCAGAATATACTATGACCAGATTTAACGTATTTTTTTGCACGGCTATTGCCGTCGCTGGACAACTATACTTGGGTAATCGCCATGCCTTGAGCGACTCTGCCGTTATACCATCACCAATAAAATACACTGCAATTCCGTATTGCCGATCTGCGCATACAAGATACTTGTTGTCTGGAGAAAAACACACGAGACTGATATTTGCAATAGATTCCTTCGTTGTCTGGAACGATCCAATCAAACTTAGGCTCTTCTTATCCACTTTGAATAGCGTCACGGTATTCTCATTGCCGTCGTTGTTAATAGCGACAAATAACTTGCCATTTGGACTAAAAAGCATCTTTTGTATTCGTTTCATAGACAAATCGGTATCATTTCTAGATAACATAGCATCTCCTTCCACCACATCAAAATTGAAAACTCTGACATGAGTGTCTGTCGAGTACACGATAGTTTTTGAGTCCTTGTTAATGGCGCAAGAAATGATGCTTTCGTCACCCTTTGTTTGCAATTGCAGTAGCTTTATGGGTTCTTCATCCAATTGATGCAGCATGGAAGAGCGTACTAATTCTGGAGGATCTTTAGTGGCTGAACCAAGTCTCCATAATTCTAGATAATTTCTGTAACGTAATAAGATACATCTAGATTTTCGGCAAATTATGGCACAGGGTGATTGCAGTAGTGGAGGATATTTTACAAGATTTTTTGGTGGATAACTTGACACAGCAAGGTACCCATCTACCCCAGCCGAATAAAGTTTTCCATTAGCTTCTGCAAGTGCTCTGACATCGTGAACATGTAATCTCCTCTCAATTCCTTTCACCCATTGAGGTTTTCCACTTGATTTCATGATAATTTTGCAAAAGCTCCGTACAACTGGGTCTACACCCGCGCAATATACCACATTCATATCATGAGACAAGGTGATAGCTAATATATCAGCTGTATGACTTTCATGAGACTCTATTAGGACTCCCATCTGAGGATCCCAGAAGCTTAAAAAGCCAAGAGAGTCACCGGATATTATTATATTATCATCGGTGACTGCAAGGCACCAAACTATAGTCTCTTCCTTTATATTATTTTTAGAAGTTGTCATTTTATGTATTGCATGTCCAGATATGGCACTCCATACTCTGATGGTGTCCGTGGAACCTGTGTAAATCATCTCACCCGTGTTATCCCATTTAATACATAAAATTCTCCCATTCTGCTTATCAAATATTCTCTCATAAATCAGTTTATCTTTATGTACAGTGAAAGTATTGATATATCCATCCTCTGTGCCAACGGCCAAGCGAGTCTTTTCTTGATTTATATCCATGCACCAGGCTGCTCCTCCTATCACTATGATTTCATGTTTAACACTCAGTGTTTTTAAGTCATACTCGATTACCACACCCTGAAGACCTGTGGAAAACAGTCTGGAATCAATCCAGAGTATACTTTCCACTGAGTTCTCGGCATGACCAGCTATAGCGCATTCGATAAATGGTGCATTTTCCACATTCCAGATTTCTATAGAGTTGTTGCTCCTTCAAAAAGGAAAGAAGTATTAGAAGATAGCCATAATAATAGTTTATTTATATAAAGCTTATGAGTTTACTGATATTAAATACATATAGTCATAAATGTGTATTATCTAATGGTAAATTCAGTTGCTTATAAAGATTAATGTACATTAAAATAGCTATTTTATACAAAGTATCTAAATACATACAATGAAATAACATAATCAACTTTGGCAATAAAATAAAAAATATGTAAATAGTATATTCTCTGTTAACTAACGTGACAATATCATTACTGAGTATTTAATTGTTCAAAATATTTATCTGCTTTTACATTTAACTTTGCCAATTTCATGTGTAGCAGATTTTAGTATGCAATTTAATGTAGTACAAATTACTAAATTTGCTATTACCTTGCAAGGGCTAACTTTTTCGTTTTCGATTCATGACACAGGCAGGTCACAGATTTCGGCTCCAAATTGTAAAATCTTATGTTATGTATACGATACGAAGCCATAATTTTTCCCTGTATAATTAAATCTAATTTCACACATAAATGATTACTTTTGATGTGTTCATAGAAAACATAACCTTAACCATCACACGTGGACGATACAAATTCCATAAAACTCCATGAAAAAATGATAATACCCTCATTGGTCAAAGCCATTTGACCGAAACTAGTGACATTTTGTTGTACTCCTGCAAATAGTGGTAACACTCACGCTGAACTTCATGATGTATTTCAACTTTCGCGTTATCTCTTGTCGGAATATATTCTCCTGATAACTTTGACGATTTATATATATATAATATTATTTTTGTGTGTATATAATTAAACTAATGATTACTTTTGCTAAATAAAGAAAAATAAAAAGATGTCAGATATTCCTAAAGATTTATTATAATGATTAACTGGAATAACAATTTTCATATTCTGAATTATATAGTCACAAATATAAAATATCTATATGAATAATATCTATAGTTCCAAATATCTCTATAATCTATACAAATATCTATTAATTATAAATATTTATACAAAATTTAGCTATTAGCCAATTCGTTCACATAATATTGTTTTTTATATATTAGTTGTATTATTACTGATCAATTCCATTTAACAAATTCTTTATAAATGTTATATATTTATATACGTGTATCGGTATTTATTATATTTAATGTATAGTTATATAATTTATTATTATTATTATTATATAACAATATATATATTATATCTATCGATTATTTTCTATATTTACTGAACTCGTTAATTACACACAGCTTTCATTTTTTCTCGTTTTCTCTTCAACGTGAAAAAAAGGAAAGCTTTCCAGTAAAGACAATAACCGTGTAAAAAGTTCAACTAAAAAGAATAATAGACCTCGCACATACATCTATTTATTTTATAGTATAAATATTATTTTTTCTAAATAGTAAACTCAGATCAATACATTAAACGAGCTATAGTTAGGTGTAACAAATAATATTTATTACTCACAAATTATAATTTTCCGACGGTAAGTTTCAACGGTACGTTTCAACTATACTTATTTAGTCCTCATCAGCCGCAGAAATACATAATTACACCCCATATATCTAATTACATTAACATATTATGAGGATCATCTCACATTCGAGTTACAATAGATAATATAACCAATTTTATTTTAATGTTATAATAAATAGTTATATTATCTATTATAACTCGAATGTGAGATGATCCTCATAATATGTTAATGTAATTAGATATATGGGGTAATTATGTATTTCTGCGGCTGATGAGGACTAAATATAGTCGAAACATACTGTTGAAACTATTATCGTCGGAAAATTATAATTGGTGAATAATAAATATTATTTATTACACCTAACTATAGCTCATTTAATGTATTGACCTGGGTTTATTATTTATTAATTTTGTTGTAAGTTATACGAGCGAAAAGAATTGATATTATTTTATGTTGTAATATTATTTTTTCTAATAAAATAGTGAATTGGTAAGGTAAAATAAAATTTATTTACAGTTAAACATTTTTAATAATATCACATTTGTGCAACCTCGACTTTTGAGTTATCCTTTCTTACTTTGGCTGCAATTATTGAGACGATTTTAACATGCAACGAGAGTCTTGGGTCATATTACAGGGCCGTATAATCATATTTATAGATCAATGTTATACAGGGTGGACCATCTGAAGTGATCCAGTCAAATATCTCGAAAACTAGTAGGGATAGAGAAAAATGTTTCGTATGAAAAGTTTAGGGTTACACG